TTTGTTTTGCCAGAGGTGGCCGCTAAGGCGTCCTGACCCCCTCTGCCCACCTCCCCAACTATGTGTTACTGCCCTATCCTCTGTGGAGGGGGTGGGGAAAGGGAGAGGGAGAATTACCATCTGTATCTAGAGGTGCTCTTTGCAGTTCTTGGCCCTCTCTGGTCCTGACCTCCGACCTCCTAACGTGACCCTTTAGCAACCCTCCCACCCCCACCCATATCCTGTTTGGGAAACTTGTTCCCAGACTTTCCTATAGTATAGGGGAACTGCTGCCCAGCAGAAGTCTGCATAGATCTTCTGTGGGGCGGGTGGGATGGGGAGCAGCCTGTCAATCAATAAAGGGCTCAGAATTCATCTGTCCTAGCAAGGCTGGGCTAGAGGAGTCTGGAGAGCGGCGCCCCTCTCCGCCCCTCCAGTTCTTCCGTGTCTTCCTTTTTTTGGTTCTTCTTTGCTTTTTCCTTTTTTCTAGCTCTTTTTTCTTCCCCTGAGCGGCTGTCACTCCCAGCCTTGTCTGGCTCCTTCTCTTTCTCTTCTCCCTTCTCCCCTTTTGCTCCTGTTCCTTCCAGCCCAGCTTTGGGGACACCGCCTGTTGGGAAAAAGTGGGGGAAGAACCTTTTGATGAACCCTCAGTTCCTCTCCAGGCATTGGGAGGCCCTCTCCCCACTCCTCCAAAGAAACATCTCCAACCCTTGATGGAATGTATCCCCTGTTCTCAGTGACACTTTGAGAGGGGGACTAATACCGGGGTACATAAAGGGTCAAATACCCACCTTCTTCACCTATGGGCATTATATTTAGGGAGCAGTTCCCACGCTGGGTTTTCTGGCTGTGGGCAAGGGGAGCAGAAGCAGGAAAGGGCCGGGGTAGGAGAGACGTGGTGGGGTGACCCCCTCTCCTGCAGTGCTCCCTTCCCGGGTTCCTCTCTGGACCTGACTGAACCTTTATTGAATCCTTATTAGTGTGCAAATCATGAAATGTCTGTCCTACCCACTGTGGTTGAGGAGAGAGGCCAGGTCTTACGAGAGGGGTCAGGCCTGGGCAAAGCAGGATGGAGGTGCTTCAGGGCCTGTTCCGAGAATCATGTATTGTGACAGTCCTGGCACCCCCTTTGCTGCCTCCCTACTGCTCACTTGGGGCTGCCACCAGCCTCCCACCCTCCTGGTTCCGCTGGCCGGGCCAGGAGAGGATGGGGATGGGAGCCCCAGAGGGCCCAGGAGATCTTGTATATAATGGGGTGGGACTGTTGTGCGTGATCTCTGAGCACTTAAAGCTCAGGAGTCCCATTCTTCCAGAATGGAGAAGGGGTGCAGGGACGGAGGCACAGAGGGAGTCCCCTCCTCTCCTTTCTCCTGTTGTGAATTAATTCACCTCTCCTCAGCCTTCCCCTCCAAACCACCAGCCTGGGAGGGGAGAGGAAGGAGGTCACAGCCCAGAAAACTGGCCTGTGGCAACTTCCCTCCTTCCCGCCAATGTGAGCCATCCTGAGATGTCTGTACAATAGAAACCAAACCAAATGGGCACCCTCGGTCACCGAGGGGCGGGCGGGAGGGGGGTGGGAAGAAGGGATGTCTGTCTGTGGATCCCCCTCCCCCTCTCCACTCCTTACCCACAAAGGCAAAAGACTGTTACACTAGGGGCTCAGCAATCCAATCCCACCCTTACTGAGTGAGCCAGACCTAGGAACAAAACACACAGCAACAAAACAGGAGAGAAAGCGAGAGTAGGAGAGGGAGCGAGATGGGTGACAACACAGGAGAGGAAACAAAAATAGCAAAAAAAAAAAAAAAAAAAAGCAGTTCTTTATAATTTAATATTCTATTTTAATAAAGGCGTTTATTACCGTATAAATGTAGCAAAGAACCTGGGCTAATATGAAAAAAAAAGACTTTTTATTAGGTAATTTATTATATGAAAAGGATATTTTATTTTATGATAAAGTGATCCTTAAAAAAAAATAAAAAAACTTTAGAAGGTTTAGAATATATGTAGGGAGAGAAGAAGAAGAAAAAAATACATTTGTATTCAGAGTTAAATCTTAAAAAAAAAAAAAGTGTTTTTAATATATGTTCGGGTTTACGTTCCTTTTTTCCCCCACTTTTTTTTGGGGAGGAATGTCATTTGCTTTTCTTGGGGGAGCATCCTGGGATGGAGGGTGGAGAGAAGGACTGGGGGAACCTGGTCCCTTCTGGGGCCCTGCAAGTAGATTGGATTTCACTGGGTGGGCTCCCCCTCCCCTCTCCCCCTTCCCCCTCAGGGGAACCGGCAGAGCCAAACAAAGAAAGGGATTAACTAGAAAGGAAGAAGCTGTGGGACTAAGGACTGAGGATCCTGGGGTGTCCCCCCCCTTCCCCTGCCCTGTCCCAGGGGCTACTGCGGAGGGGAGATCCAGAACTGAGGCCTACTAGGCCTACGGGAACCCTCAGAGAGGTGTGAGATTTAAGAGAAATAGATTTTTTTTTTTTAACCAAAAAGAGAAAGAAGAAAAAAGAAAGAAACCGAGGGGTTTAAAAGAAAAGAATACTACAAAATAATAATAATAATTCAAATTTATTTCATATAATCCTAGAGAAAGAAAGAAAGAATTACTAGTTACTTAGTAGACGATATTCAGATAGTTTAAAGTTTAGTAGCATCGAGGACCCCTGGGTCCAGTAGAATGTATAAAAGTCGTATCAAAAAGAATAGAGGAGGGAAATGGCTGAGTCCACCCTGGTCACCCCATCTTCAGGAATCAGGGTTGGAGCAGGTTGCTAGTTAAGATTGGGAGCTTCCAGTCTGCTGGGGTTGATTCTGAGAATCCGTGGATTTTTTAATTGTAGGACAGATAGATGAGGGGCTCGTTCCCAGGGTCTTTGAAAGGGTGCACACTGACCACCTCAGCCACGTGGGGGGCTGGGCTGGGGGCAGCAGAGGAGGCTGAGCACGTTGACCTACACACCCTGTACCTGGGGGCCTGGCCATCTCTATTGGGCAGCCCTTGTGGCAAAGTGGTCCATCCTCTCTGGGGACTCTCAGGGAGGATGGAGACTGCTTGCTTCAACTCTCCCAAGTCAGCTTCTCCCAGGCCTGAGGAAGTCCTTACTAAAGTATAACCTCAATTCACTTTACTACAGATAAGAGCCAGGTAAACCATCCCACAGACAAGTCAGTCGAACACACTTTCCACCATCCCAGGGCTTCAAGAGCCCTGAGGGGATCAGTCCCCCATCCCGTTCCCTTTCAGCATTTAATGTTGCTTTTGACCTCTGAAAGTAGTGATCTCAATAATTATTCTCCTTTAAATCTGTATGGTGCTTTACAGGTTTGCAAGTTATCTCATAAAAGCTAGATTTCAAGAAGGACTTTCTACCCAGTGAGGTGGAATGGAGACGACTATCCTCCAAGGCCTGGGAGAATAGCCCCCCCAAGAATACAGAGACAGGTAGGGGCACAGGGGCTTTGGGTGACCCCAGCTCTTAACCCCTCTACTCCAGCCCTAGGGGTCATCCACTGTGCCCTGGCACAGGGGCACGTGGCCTTCCCCACAGAAAACTGGGAGGCTAGCTTTGCATGTGAGGAATCAACATTTAAGCACTTGCCTCCTACCAAACCCAGCAGTCGACCGGATCAGGCCCTTTCCTCCTATCCCAGAGGGTGGAGAAGCCCTTGGCTCTCCCTTTGGCATGAGGTGCCTGTTCCTTTATACCAGTGACTCTGCCATGCCGTTCCCTGACCCCAGCCCCCAACATCTCCCTCTCCCCAATTTACTCTTCTTGCCCCACCTAGGGACAGATTTCCCCCCTGCTCTTTTTGTCCTCGAACCCTCGCTAGTCTGGGATGGTAGTGTCTGGGATGGGGAGGGCCTGCTTCCCCTTCCCCGCTCGAGGGTGCGGGTGGGGTAGGGTGGGTGGGTGGAGACCGCCCTGGGGCAGAGAGGATGGTCTCTCCACTGTAGAAAGTAGAGTAGGATTGTGGTCAGACTTAATTTGAGGCATCTAGTGAAGACACATCCACCAAGGAAAAACAATTTCAAAAGCAAAATAAAAGTGGGAAATAAAACAGACCCATGAATAATCAAGTCAAAGTGATGTTGCACAAAATGCAGAGAAACCAAGAAGGGGGAGGGTTAATGTATTAAATGTGCTATTAAGAACTTAATTTTATTAAAAGTATTATTACTTAAAGCTTTGTCTTCCTCTGCATCGACCTGGGGTGAGAGCCAGGGACTGTGGTGGGGATGTCGATCCTGGGGGGTTCTCTCTGCTTTAGCTCTGGGTGCCCCTAACGCCCCTTGTGGGAAGTGGTGCCTCCAGGGTTCCCTGCCATTGGCTGCCCTCTCCGTTCTCCAAAGCTCTCAATCCCTGTCTCTTCCTTCCACATTTACTCCCTTCTTTTCCTTGGAGATGTGTCCGCACCTCCTACCCTGCCCTGCAGAACTGGGGAAGTTGAAGCAAGGGGAAGAGCCCTTGCCTGGACTCCTCTCCCAGGCTCCATGGAGAAGATGCAGAGGGCTGAGCGACCCAGAGCCTCCCCTACTCACCCTGCTAGATTCAATCCATCCCTCTGGGGAGAGGCAGGAGACTGGATGGAGGACTACAGCCTTCAACCTCCCAGCCCTGCCTCCCCTTCTCTCCTGTATCTCCCTCAGCCTCCTCCTCTTGCCCCTGGCATTGGCGTGACCTCAGTTCTTGGCACCAGGACCCTGGGCACCAGATGGTGCCCGCCGATGGTTTCCTTTGTCTCGCCTTCCAGATACCCCTCCCCTCCAGGCTGTCCTCCCTCCCCACCTGCCCTGGAGGTTGGCAGAGGGAAGGGCGGCACCTCCCTCTCCCTTGGCACTGTCCCCAGACCACAGAACTCCAGAGGCAGCTGGCCCTGGGGGACAGTCAGGATGGTGGGGAAGACTGGAGAAGGAGGAGGAGGAGAGGGGATCTGGGATTCAGAGGACGGGCCAAAGTTGGGTAGGAGGCACAGACAAGTGCAAGAGGAGGAACCATAGGAAGCAGCAAGATGGCCAGGCATTGATACAAAACAGATTTATTTGAGGGTCCTAGCCTATGTGGGGTAGATAGTTCATAAAGATACGCATGGAGGGGCATGAAGACCCCAGGGCTCTGGGGGGCTGTGAACCAAAGGGCAAGAGTCCTGCAATGGGGGTGGGGTGGGGAGCTTCAGGAAGCATGGGGGTGGGGGGCAGGGTTGGTCATGGCCAAGGTCAGAGGCTGATGCAACAGGCCCTCTTCTGCCCAGGGCCAGGCTCCTGCCCAGCCTGGGCACTGCCCAGGGTGATGGCATTGGTCCGGGTGCTATTCTGCCTCTGCTTGGACACCTTGGCAAAGATCTCTGAGAGGATGGAGGGCAGTGATCAGGCCCGAAAGTTTGGAGGCGCACACGTACACACCCACCTGCACGCACACACTCTGCGTGTCCATTCTGAGAATCAGGGGCTGGCCACACATACAGTACGAGGGGTTCTGCCAGAAGGACGTGGACTTGGGGTACACAGGTCCCTTCTACTTACCTGAGTGGAAAAGGAACCGCTCACTTTCCCCTGGGAAGTATGGCTTTATGTTTCCTTCCCTCAGCTGCAGGCTGAGTGGGAGGCCCCGGGGGTGGCAGGGGCCCAGGGGCCTGTGCAGTGGTGGTACAGCTCTGGGGGGGAGCCCACAGTGGGCTTAACGGAGTGTCTGCATTTCTACCACTGCCCTTTGAAGCCCCAGGGATGGAAGGAGGGTGCCAAATGGAGGCAGGCTCTAACCTTTGAGGACAGTCTCAAAGGCCAGTTCGACATTGGTGGAGTCCAGGGCTGAGGTCTCCAGGAATAGCAGCCCATTGTTTTCTGCCAGGAATGGAAACACTCGATTAGCTGTCGGATCAAAGGCGTAATAACAATAATAGCAGCAACAACAACTTAATGTGTTATGTGCTAAATCCTTGGTATATAGTAACTCTTTTAATCCTTCAAACAACCACTGAGACAGGTAGTTAGGAAACTGAATCAGAGAGAATGAAGGAACTTACATCCATGTCTCATATCTAGTAACAACAAGAGGAGATGGGAGGCTGGGCCATGGGGGCGGGGACCCTGAAGCACTATTTTGTGCTGCTGGTAAGCCTAGAAAAGCCCTGGAGAAAGAGCAACTGGAGATGACCAAGGGGAGCCCACCAGCATCTTTGAGCATTGCAGGGAAGGGCTGTCCTAAAATCAACTATGAATGATTGCTGAGGAACACCATCTCAGGGCAAGTGGAGGGACATGATGGCAGACACAGGGTCCCAGAGGGAAGTACTGGGAGACACTGAGCAAGACTAGATGGAAGTCGGGCGTGATGGTGCTGGGCTGGCCTGTAATCCCAGCAGTTGGGAGGCCGAGGCAGGAGGATTGCAAGTTCAAAGCCAGCCTCAGCAAAAGCAAGGTGCTAGGCAACTCAGTGAGACCCTGTCTCTAAATAAAATACAAAATAGCGCTGGGGATGTGGCTCAGTGGTTAAAAGACCCTGGGTTCAATCCTTGTACAAAAAAAAAAAAACAGTGGATGAAGATAGAGAACCAGGGGCCCAGATGGAGGAAACCCACACTGGGGGCCCCCGGGGTGAGAGTGGGGACTAGAAAAGATGGAGCTGGTGGGGTGTGGGCAAACTGGAGGAGTCAGACTGGGTGGGGGTGGGCTCTCACCAGCGAACATGCGGGCCTCATCAGTGGGCACTTCCCGGGCCTGGCTGAGGTCACTTTTGTTCCCCACAAGCATGACAACAATAGTGGCCTCAGCATGGTCATAGAGCTCCTTCAGCCAGCGCTCCACGACAGCATAGGTCTGGTGCTTGGTCAGGTCGAACACCAGAAGGGCCCCCACTGCTCCACGATAGTACCTGGGTGGGAGTGGGAGGACAGACAGGAATAGGACAGACAGGGGTGTTGGGCCCAGCCTCAGAACAGACTCCGGAGCCAAAAGGCCTGAGAGCAGAGTGCCAGATACTGAGAAACACAGAAGCTGGGGTTCAGGGATCCAGACCCCAAGGGAGCAGCCCAAGACTCCCATGTGCTCCAGGGATGCTGGTCTCGGGCTTTGGAGCTTCACCTCTGTGCTTCAGAACCGCACTGGCCCCTCAAAGGCCCGCTACTCCTCGGGTCCTTTGTCCTGATTGTAGTCAGTACTCTTCACCAACGCACCTCCGGGCTCTGGCCAAGTGTGCCTCCTGGATGCCCCACTTCAGAGATCTTTGTCACAGGGCTCCTCAACCTACAGTGCACTCTTCTCTCCGATGGCCATTTCTCAAAGACAGGTCCCTGACCTGGCCACTCAGGGCATCTCTGCCAGCGTCCAGCCTCCCACTGGAGCCGGAATAGCCATCTTCAGCCTCGGTTTGTATAATTTGTCTCTGTTTATTGATTAATCAACTAAGCTCACAAGATGTCAAGTGACCAAAAGTGATGAATGTGTGAGTGTGACCATAACCCTCCCCAACAGCTGCTATCCCCCACCACACACTCATGGAGCACCTTTTACACATTTGGGTCTGATACTGACTAGAAGACACTTTGAATGGGTGTCAGGAATCCTAACTTCCCGTTGTCCTCTGAGATGTTATAAATTACTCCAATTTAGCATTTGTGGTCAGATGAATATTGTCAGATGGAGTGCTGACGTCAGGGGGCGCTGTTGATCCACGGAGCCTCCCCCATCCCTGCTCCACCCTGATTTCATTTCCCCTTGCTTGTATTTAAACCAGGATTAATTATAGCACCTTTCTTCAGGGGTACTTGAAGGGTTACATAAAATGCCAAGTATAAATAAAGTTCTTTGAACTTTCCTGGGCACATGGCAAAGGCTTAGTAAATTGTGGCAAGGACTTTTTTTTCCCTTTCCTTTAGTACAGGGGATTGAACTCAGGGGCACTTTACCACTAAACCACAGCCCCAGCCCTTTCTGTTTTATTTGGAAACAGGGTCTCCCTTACTTGCTGAGGCTAGCCTCGAACTTGTGATCCTCACACTGTTGCCCATCTCCTGTGATTCCTCTGGGAGCACACTGCCGAGCCTCCTCTGCCTCCCCCTGCTCCTCTACTTCTCAGGGGTGTCCCTGACTTCCCCCAGGGCTCCAGCAAGCAACCCACCATCCCCCCAGGCCCCGGGCTCACGCCGAGGTGATGGCTCGGTATCGCTCCAGGCCAGCTGTGTCCCAGATCTGAGCCTTGACAGCTGCAGTGCCCAACATGACCGTGCGCGTGGAGAACTCCACCCCGATGGTGGTCCGGCTGTCGTGATTGAACTCGTTGCGCGTGAATCGGGACAGCAGGTTGGTCTTCCCCACGCCTGACTCGCCGATCAGTACCACTGGAAGAGCGGGGAAATAAGGGCTGAGCACCCAGCAGAGGGGCCCTGAGCCCACCTGAGCCGGGAGGGTCTGTCCAGCAGAAAGGCAGAACTGAGCTCCCCAAACTGCGGAGGGAGCCCGTTCTCCTGGCAAAGACTCGGGTCAGCAAGTCGCATAATGCATCTGTCATGGAGGGCAGAGGGGCCAGAAGTTTAAAACAAACAAAGGTGCTGCGAGGGTTGCAGGCCTGCTTCGTTGACCCTGGCTGACAGTCAGCCTGCGTTGCTGGGAGGAGTGAAATCTGTGGACTCTTCTGGGTGACATGTGAAAAGGTTACTGAGGTGGGTGAATATGGACAGGGATGGGGCAGCACATATCTCTGGCAGGAAAGCACAAGAACGTTGCGCATGTCTCTGTGCATTAGCTGAGCAGACACGTGGGGAGGGAGATCAGTGTGGATTATTTGCATAGACAACAAAGATATGAACAGAAGTATGTGTGAGGGGACAATTTAATAGGTGACATATATGTGGGCAAGGGTAAGGTAGGGAGTTATGTGTGCCCATGACTGTGCATAAGAAGTCAGGGTGGTGCACCTCTGTAATCCCAGTGACTCAGGAGGCTGAGGCAGAAGGAGTTCATATCCAAGGCCAGCTGCTGCAAATTAGCAAGACCCTGTCTTAAAGGGAAAAGCAAAAGGGCTGGGGATACAGTTCAGTGGTAGAGTGCTCTTGGGTTCAATCCCCAGTACATAAATAAATAAATAAATATAGAATTCAGTTGACCCTAAAGAGATCCTGCACTGTATGCTTAAAAGCAGGGGACTAATCTAGGCACAGTGACACATGCCTGTAATCCCAGCAGCTTGGGAGGCTGAGGTAGGAGGATCACAAGTTCAAAGCCAGCCTCAGCAAAAGCAAGGCACTAAGCAACTCAGTGAGATCCTGTCTCTAAAAAAAATACAAAATAGGGCTGGGGATGTGGCTCAGGGGTCAAGTGTCCCTGAGATCAATCCCCAGTGCCAAAACAAAACAAAACAAAACAAAACAAAAAAAAAACAAGAGAATGAGGACTGGGTGTTGGACTAGCTCTGTGTCCTTCAGGAAGCTATTTAACCTCTCTGAACCTTATTTTCATATGAAAAAGGCGGGGGGGGGGGTGAATAGCAATAGTATTTACCTTATGGGCTGTTGGAAGAAGCAGATTAGATATTGCCCAGAATATAGCAAATGTATAAAACTGCCAGGTGCGGTGGCACACAGCTGTAATCCCAGATTCAGGAGGTTTGCGAGTTCAAAGCCAGCCTCAGCTGGCAACTTAGTGAGGCCCTTAGCAACTCAGTGAGACCCTGTCTCTAAAAAGGGCTGGGGATGTGGTTCGGTGGTTAAGTGCCCCTGAGTTCAATCCTGGTACCAAAATAACAACCAAACCCCCATGTACAAAAGTACTGATATGTTTGGTTGTTGCTGACCTTCCAGTGCTTTTGCCTTGGGTTTTCAGGGACAAGGACCACTAGAGGGGCCACAGAGACCTTTTAGGTGATGAGCAGCACAGGAGCTGCAGCAGGGTATGAGGGGCTGATGTAAGCACAGCCCACACATTGCATGACACTGACCTGAGCCCCCAGCATTGGAGGAGGCCACCCAGGTGGTTCTGGAAAGGCAGCCTGGTACCCAACCACTGGGAGTCACATATCTTGAACTCTGGTCTCTGCTCAGGCTCCAAGCAGCGTGTGAACTTGAAAAAATGGCTCACCTGTTCTGGGCCTCAGTTTCCAACATTAAAAAAAAATTCTTATTTGTACAGGGCAAGAAAGAGCCAGTAGCTCTTTCTTGGTATGTGTGGGTAAGAGGGGTGTGTGTGTGTGTGTGTGTGTGTGTGTGTGTTCCTATCTCTTCCTACTGGAAACCTCATCTCAATTTCATCCCTCCCAGTGGGTGGGTTTCAGGCTCTGTCCTAAGACCCTAAAGTTGCTCAAGATGAGGGTTTCAGAAACAGACTTAGGTTTGAGTTCTACTGACTTTGTGAACTTTTTTCTCCATTATTTTTTAATTCAGAAACTCCACCTACTTTTCCAGGCCTGTCACTTTCTTTTTTTTTTTTTAATTCTTAAGTTTTAGGTGGACACGATATCTTTATTTTACATTTATGTGGTGCTGAGGATCGAACCCAGTGCCTCCTGCATGCTAGACATGCACTGTACCTCTGAGCCACAACCCCAGCCCTTCTCCATTATTTTTTATTGGTGCATTATAGTTATATATCATAGTAAGATTTGTTATCTTTGTGAACTTTTGTAAGTTACTTATTCTGTCTCTAAACCTCAGTTTCCTCATCTGTAAAATGAAGTTACTAGATGGGCTCGGTGGCACATGCCTGTAATCCCAGCAGCTTGGAAGGCTGAGGCAGGAGGTTCACGAGTTTATTAAAGCCAGCCTCAGCAAAAAGCGAGGTGCTAAGCAACTCGGTAAGACCCTGACTCTAATAAATACAAAATTAGGGCTGGGGATGTGGCTCAGTGGTCGAGTGCCCCCGAGTTCAATCCCTGGAACCCCCCTCCCCCCAAAAAAGGTGTTACTAGTAATTAACGTTTATTGAGTGCTTACTAAGTGTCAGGCACCAGCCTAAGAGCTTTACACATATTAACTATTTAATCCTCAGACAACAATGCCCTGAGTAAGTGCCATTATTATCATCCCCCACCTACCCCACCACAGGGAGTGCAGGCAGTGGACAGCCTCCAGCTGCCAGCTTCATCAGAAGCTGACTCTGATGCGGACAGCAACCTCCTGGGAAGTCATATCTTTCCTTGACAGTCCCTTCTTGATGGGGGGCTGAGCAAGGTGAGGTCATCACAGAGTCCCACAGCCTTGGCCCAGGCTTTGAGGAGTTGTTGGTGTGGTTGACTTCTCCCTCTTCCCCAGCCTGTCTCCTCCCTCTTGCTTTCGGTCCCTGATCAACACGGGGCACCCAGACCTTAGAGTCAGCTTCTGGTGAGCCCTCCTACACTAACCTGTAAGTGGCAGGACGAGACCTCATGCTGTGCTTCCTCTCAGAATGCAGGATAACTTTGGGGGTCGTTATGGTGATTAATGAATTAGTGGCTGGTACCTAGTAAGGGCACCCGGACTCCTGTCAACCCTTACTCTGTTTCTCCTTCCTGGGAAGGACGCCAGAAGTACAGGTTCCCCAACCTGAACAAGGGTGGGGCTGAGGCCGGGGAAGGCAATGGGGTGAGATGGGGTGGGGTGGCTAGAAAGGGATCAGAGCTTTACCAGGCCACCCTGCCCTCGAGGAGGTATGGAGGTGGCTTTGGGGAATCACAGTGGGACCAAACACAGGGGCCAAGGTAAAGAAGGAAGGATAGGTGAGTATTTCCAGAGACAGCCAAGTTGAATTCAGTGCCTAATATTCAGGTCCAAGGAATCTGCCAAGGGACAGTAGCTCAGGTCTCAGCGCCAGGAGTCCCCTGGATTTTATCAGACCCAGCTCCAAATTCATTATACTTCCTCAGTGTCTTTCCTGTATATTTACAGACTAGCCCAATAAAGATAGATCTTCTCTTTCTCTCCTTTTCCATACATCTGCCCAGAAAAAATGATTTTATTCCTGTCAAATGTTTGTTTCTCCCTCTATCCAGAAAGAAAGTCCTTTCTGAAGTCTGACCTGCATCTCTTGTGCTGTGATGTCTGACTATTCCCAGGGATCCGGGCTTCTATTAAGAACAAGGCCAAGAGGGCAGTATAAAGGCATGATGAGCATCGTTATTTACAACAGTGGGGCGTACTTGGCAACTCCAGAACCTTCGCTCCCTGTCACCAGACCCTCCTTCACTTCCTGCACCTTCCTTTCTGAGCTAGAGGGAATCAGGAGCCGTGGGGAGTCCTAGGAAGAGACGCAAAGCAGGAGGGGGTCCCCTCTGACTCTATTCATTCATTCCTGGTCTTCTCAAGCTTCCTCTCTCTCTCTCTAAGGACCCCAACTTACCTTTGAAAACAAAGTTATAATCTTCCTCGGTCCCATTCCCCATCTCGGCTCCGCATGGAAGGTGCAGATGTCTTCGGTGGCAGAGGTCACAGTGTGTGCGTCAGCTCAATGCCCTGAACGCTCAGCTCTCAAGAGACCTGGACCCACTTCTCTTCTCATTGGGGGCAGGATGGTTTCTACAGCCAAAGGGACTGAGGACCAACTCAAAGCCAGCCAGGTCCAGGGAGGCTGGGTTCTGGCAGGTGGGGTGCTGGGTGGAAACCGAGAAGACGGAAGCTGAGAACAGGAAGAGCGGGCGCTGGAGACCTGGGGCCCAGGTGGGTGGAGAGAGGGTGACGTCAGACAGGTTGGACAGGTTGGGTGTCTGCCCTCAGCCTGGGCTCCCACAAGGGGAGAGACAACTCTAAGGGGTAACAGTAGGGAAGCTGGGGACAGGGTCTTTGGACAGAGGCTGCTGAAAGCTGAGTGTGCACTGCTTAGCTCCTGCCCCAGCCATGGGGAGAGGTGGGGCAGCCATCAGTGGGAGAGAGACAGCTCCTTGGGAAGCAGAAACCCACTTGGTGGCCTACTTTTCCTTCAGAGGCCCTGGTAGGAGTCTGCCGGAGGACCAGAGAAGGGTTGTTGCAATAAGGGGCAGGGGCTGGTGGAATGCCAGCCACCCAGGTGCAGAGCACAGCTGTGGGAGCTGCATCTTGGCCAGAGACTTCTGCCCCTCCCTCACAGCCAGGGCCTGGGATGGGCAGTATTTCTCACCCAGGGTGGAGCTGGACTCTATTTTTTTTGGTACTGGGAATAGAACCCAGGGCACTTAACCCCTGAATGACATCCCCTGCCATTTAAAAAAAATATATTTTATTTAGAGACAGGTCTTGCTGAGTTGTTTAGGGCCTCGCTAAGTTGCTAAGGTTGCCTTTGAACTTTCGATCCTCCTGCCTCAGCCTCCCAAGCGGCTGGGATTACAGGTGTGCACCACGGCACCCAGCTGGGACTCTGAATTTTCTACTTGCCTGGTCCCTTCCTCTGGCACTGGGGCAAGGGACTCACCAGCACAGACCTGCTCTAAGGACACTGAGGAGGGAAGATGTGAGGCAGAAAGAACAGACGGGGTGAGTACGGAGGCAGGATCTGGAGATCAGAGCCTCTGGGCAGCCTTCTAGGATTCTACTCCTTGTCGGATCTGAGGTCTCACAACAAAGGCATTTTGTCTGCAAAGGGCTTCAAGATCTGGAAGGACCAGGCATGGTGTTGCACACCAGTAACTTCCAGTGACTTAGGAGGCTGAGATAGGAGAATCGCAAGTTTGAAGACCAACTTCAGCAACTTAGTGAGAATCTGTCTCAATTATATACATAAATTATATGTATGGGTGTGTGTGTGTGTGTGTGTGTGTGTGTATTTTCCTGGAAAGGGTCTGGGTGAGCCTTTGAACACCTGGGAGAAGAGGAAAGGAATGGCCCCCCCTTTTGGGCAGTCAGAGGGACCCTTTCAATCAAAACCTCAATCAAGGATACTAAACTCCCGGGGCCTTCCATGTATTCTTTTTCCAAACCTAACCAGTTCTTTGCTCATCTGAGCTCACTCCTAAGGTTTTGCCAACCAGGTGGGTAAGATTCTGCTCTGAGCGGCAGAGGTTAGGTAAGGTCACCGCTGGATAGGCAAAGGAAGCTTGCACCAGCCAAGAACCATCAGGTTATGGGATGTCACGGTGAAGGAAGGATGGGTGGAAATCCACTCTTGTAGAACATGAGGAATCCTCTAGGCCATCCCTGGTCCTTCCTATGGTCTTTGATTCCTTCCATCCAAGAAAGCAGCCAAGAAACAAGTCAGGAGTTAACATTTATTCTGGAAAATACAAAAGCCCACCCTTCCCCCACAGTTCAGGAGGGTTTGCCCAGGAGGCCTTGCCCCTCTGACTGGTCATCTCTCTTTACTGACCCCAGCCTCCATCAACGCCCATTATGATGCCGCTACTTGGGTGAGAGGCTCCTCCAGGTACTGCACCAAGGCCTGAGCCTGCAAGAGGGTGAGCACACATCAGTCCACCCAGAGGGATCCCAACCCAGTCTGATCCCCAAGACATACTGAGCAACCACCTGCTCTTGGGAGTTCATCCACAGCAGACATGGACTAAGGAGACAGAACTCCAGAAAGGGAATGTGGATCGGAGTAGACCAGGCGACAGAGCACAAAGGCCGGGCCCAGAGCGGTGAAGAGATGGGCACATACATACCTTGGCCTTCAGCATCCCAAAGCCCACTGTCTCCTTGGCATACATGCACAGCAGAAGGTTGGCCACACGGGTGATGGCTACACGGCCCTCCTGTGGGGATCATATGATGGGATGGGATGTTCTGCTTGGCACTTGGAGTCCCCCTTCCCCAACAGTTCCTCGGGCTCTAGAGACTGCATGCCCTAGCACAGCAAGAGGTTCAACTGACAAGCATTGGTCATAGTCCTAGATGTGAGGTTATTTACCCTAGGGAACAGTCTCCCAGAAACCTGACTTCTCTTTCTGAATCCCCAGTCAGCAGGGGCATTAATATATAAAGATTTTTTTTTCATTAGTCTTTTGGATTTTATTTTTGTTTGTTTGTTTTTTGGTACCAGAGATTGAACACAGGGGCACTTAACCACTGATCCATATCCCCAGCCCTTTTTATTTTTTATTGTGAGACAATCTCAATAAGTTGCTTAGGGCCTCCCTAAGTTGCTAAGACTGGCTTTGAACTTATGATTCTCCTGCCTTACTCTCTATAGCTCCTGGGATTACAGGCACGCACCACTGCACCTGGCTGATTAAAGAGTTTTACGTCTTGTAACAAATTATCCAACAGGTGATGTTATTGTCTGTCTGTCTGCTTGTTTTCTTTCTGTACTGGGGATGGGGACAGAACCCAGGCTGGTTTGATCAGCATTAAAAAAAAAAACAGCAGCAGCAGCATCTGGGCAAGGTAGTGCGGACCTGCAATCCCTCAGCTCTGGAGGCTGAGGCAGGAGGATGGTGAGTTTGAGACCAGCCTCAGCAATTTAGCAAGACCCTAAGCAACTCAGTGAGACCTTGTCTTAAAACAAAAAAAAAATATAAAGGGCTGGGGATGTGGTTCAGTGGTTAAGCATCCCTAAGTTCAATCCTTGGTACTAAAAAAAGAAAAGGAAAAAAAAAAAAAAAACTCATGTAGTAAGGGAAAAATGTTTCAAGAAACTTTCTTTTTAGTGGATGCATATATGTGGTAAGCTCTGATTTAAAATGCATTACTTGTGGCTGGGGTTATAGTCAAAATATGTGGAAGTCATTGCCAATAGCACCAACTCCACACTATGCAATAGTAGAAGTCATTTGTTAAACCAAAATGGCATTGGTTGGGCATGGGATGGGGAACAGCAGGTAGTGGAGTAGAGATCCTTCCTGGGGAGTTCACCGTTAGGGCCCGTTCTGGTTGGTTCTGCACACCTTCCCTAGGTATTACCTTGATGGGAATCAGGCACTGCACCCCTGCCTCTCCGGCTCCATCTACTACTCTCCCCAGTTCTCATGCCACTCCGGCCATACCAGCCTTGTTGAGCCTTGACCAGGCATCATTTTGCCCCAGTCTTTGTACTTGCTGTTCTGATAGAAACTCGCTGTTCTTCCTCCAGATAGCTAAACAGCCTGCCCTGACCTCCCTCCCCCAGCACCTTCCTTCAGATCTCAGATCTTTTCAGGTCTCTTATTCAGGCCTCTGATACACACCACCCTCACCCCATTTTCCTCATTTTAGTTTTTTTTTTCCTTAACTATATTTTATATATATATAAAAATAAAATCAGAGGTGCTTAGCCACTGAACCATCTCTCCTAGCCTCCCTGTCCCCACCCCCCTTTTTTTAAATTTTGAAATAGGTTCTTGCTAAGTTGCTTAGGGCCTTACTAAGTTGCTGAGGCTGCTTTTGAACTTGCAATCCTTCTGCCTCAGCCTCCTCAGTTGCTGGAATTACAGGCACGCAACATGGTGCCCAGCCTAATGTGTTTTACTTATTTTTAAAATATAAGACTGTAAGCTTCATGAGGCTGGGGTTTTGCCTGTTCCATTTGCTAGTTTTTCACTAGTTCTAAGAACATTGCAGGAACCTGATGACTGAACAGATTCAGAGATGAACGAGATAGTTCCTGTTCCAAAGAAGTTCACATTTCCTCTTTTTGCACTGCATTTCCTTTCTTTGTAAACTGAAGGTGTCTAGAGACTCTGCTGTGGTTCTGTGAGTCAGAAGAAGCAGATGACAACACTTGGATCACACTCCGTTTAAATCTAACCATTCTTTCATTTGATTTTTCACAACACCTGGGGAAGTAGGGAGGGGCATAAGAAATTACTGTTTAGTCCTTATAGAGGAGGTAAGGAAGCTCATAGAGGTTAAGTGATTCACCCAAGGATCCATAACTGACAAGTGATTGGCTGGGACCAGAACGCAAGACAGACCAGAGGTCTCGGGCTCCTTCCTTACCACCACTAGACTCCCAGAGTCCTGCCTATTACAAATGCTGCTGCAGACCAAATCTTAGTAATAATCTTCCGGAGATCTCCCTACCCTTCCAACCATCCAGAATGGAATCCAGGTCTCCCTCTTGAGATCCCCTTCGGGAACAGAGTAAGTCTGACTCCCCTCTTCATACCATGCAGTCCATGAGGATGAATTTGAGATTGTCTTCATTAAATGCCTGGTTCCCATTCCGGTCGTAGGCGGCCCAGATGTTACTCGCGATGGCTGCGGTAACCCGGGCGTCCGTGTCCCCGTAGCCCGAGTAGGCCAGCAGGGATCCCTCGTTATTCAGGAGCCTGGCGAGGGGCGGGGAGGGATACAGACAAGCTCAGGGGAAGAAGCAAAACGCCTGGGTTCCTAACCCTCCTCCCTTCTAGGAAGTCAGGGTCTGGGCCGAGTGTGTCTTGGACCGTGCCCTGCACTCCAGGTACCCGTTCCCAAAGGGGCTCTCATGCTGGTTCCCGCAGCGACTGTCCGCCTCTGTCCCCGCCTCCCTTCGTGGAGATCCTTCCCTAACCCTCCCGCAGCAGCCGCGTATGGCCCCGCTCCAGCACTCGCCGTCGGGTCCTCGAAGCGCACTCACAGGGTGCTCTGGACGCCTCCAGTGTTGGCTTGGCTTAGCACCTGAGTCAAAGCCTTGGGACGCAGCATACTGCGGCTCCTAACCCTGGGCTCCTGCACCCAAACCCCCAAGCTGCCCGGCGCTAACCTCTGCCTACCGCTTCCCGTACACCTAGGGCCCCGCTCCGCCTCTCCCTGGGACTTGTAGTCTCCCCGCCAGCCTAGCGCCCCTCGGACTGAACCCCGCCCCACGCGGGGAACGCTGGGAATCGTAGTGCCTTGTGGCCTCGCGAGGCACTCTGGGAACTGTAGTTCGCTTTCCAGTCACACCACGTGGCTGTGGCGGGGGGGGGGCGGTGAAGAGCGGGAGTAAAAGGACAGTGACACTTTTAACCTCTTCGGGGACAGGAAATCATGTCGGCTCGCCAACGCACGGTCCAATAGTCACTTAAAAACCTCGCACTCGTTAGGCACACCGGTGGTCACTTTTCAAAGCGTGGCGTTGTGTACGATTCCGGGAGAAGGGGCGAGCGGCGCTATAATCTCGGGGCCGCGGAGGCTTGGGAAGGCCACGTAGGCAAAATCCCGGTCTGCGAAAGCGCACTCAGTAGACCACTGAGGCCCCGGGGAGCAGTGTCCGTCCCAGGGAGGTCTTAAGTGGACGTCCAGCGGTGGGGGAAGTTAACCTCCGGGTCCGGAGAGGCCCCAGGCCTGGGAGAGCCTCGAGCTTCCCGAGAAAGACCAAGTTATCTCTGGGGACGGAGACACGGCGGCGACACAGAAAGTCCTTTGTCCCGGAGCGGGAGTTACCCGCCGAGGCGGGGGCGGACTCGGCCGGGGCCGCGGCGCTCTTCCGGAGGGCTAGGCCGACCGGGTCTCCGGGCGGGAGCTCGCCCCCGGCCCTCGGCCGCTGAGGGCCCGCCGCGCGCCAACCCGAGAGCCGCTGGGGCCACAGCGCGGCGCGGCCCGGTCCAGCGGCGCGACCCGGGGCTCGGCCCTGGGCGGACCCGCTGCAGTGGCCCCCCCAGTCCGCCCGGGGCGCTGTGGCGGCGGCTGGTCCGGAGGGGGCGGCGGAGCCTCGGGGAGGGGAGGGGAGGAGAGGAGGGGGTGTCGGAGGCGCCGGAGCCGAGCCGGGCCGGCGAGGCGGGCGGGGAGGAGGAGGAGCCGGACGGGCTGGCGGGCGGCCGGGTGGCGGCGGCGGCGGCGGCATGGCGGAGCCAAGCGGGGCCGAGACGAGGCCCCCGATTCGGGTCACCGTCAAGACCCCCAAGGACAAGGAGGAAATTGTGATCTGCGACCGAGCCTCGGTCAAGGAGGTAGTGCGGCCGAGTGGGGTGGGCGCTCGGAGGAGGGGTCCACAGGGGTGGGGGGCCCGAGTGACGGCCTGGCGTCGGGACTGCCCCCGACAGCAGGGCCGGGGCCAGCGGGGACTCGGGCGGCGGGACCGAGGGGCGGATAGGGGGCGCCCTCCGAGGGTAGGTCGCGGGAGCGTGGCGCGTGTTGGGGGACGGGTTTGGCTTGTGGTGGCCAGGGCTGGGGGCGTGGTGGAGAGCGGGGAGGGGACACCGTCACCCGCACCGGGCCGGAGAGCCTGGGCTCTGGCGGGTTGCACGCCCGCGTTTCTGGTCGGGGTTCGAGTCGCCGAGGCAGAGTGGGGCCCCAGCCCGGGGCTGAGCCAAAGGAAACCGGCGGAGCGCCGGGCGCCTGCTGTGCGCCTCGGGGAGCGCCCAGTGTCCGCTGAGCGCCAGGGCAGGGGGTCTTTCCCGCGGCCCCAAGCCTTGCACTCTCTTGAGTCGAGGCAGTTAATGGTTCTTGGCCCTTCTGGGATGCTCGGAGTGCAGTAGGTGCTCAATAAAATCTTTTTGAATGAGTGAGGAGGGACTGTTACCTTACTCTCCCCGGCTTGTGGCAGCCCCAGAATTTCACCTAGGCGGGGCTTAAGATAGGCCATCTGGTTGGAAGAGAGGGATCTGGAAGCTGCTTTTGCTCAGCAAGTGCACTGTTTTTACTTAGAATGTGTGTTTTGTTTTGTTTTGGAGGAGCTGATAGAATTTGGAGAGTCAACTCATACTGCTACCCCCCCCATATAAAATTACTAAATACTATAATTTAAATAGTATTCTCTGTAAGACTGAATTTGAACACAGCCCTGAGGGGAGGGGGGTGTTTCTGGTCAAAAGCCTGGACTTTGATGTCCAGACCTGAGTTCCCATCTCCCCAGGACAAGTTGACCTAACCTCGCTGATCCTTGGTTTTCTCTTCTTTTAAAAAGGAGATAATAACTAATACATTAGACAGCTAACCAGTGAGGGGTTAGTGCCCAATAACTGGGGTCCCTTGGTTGTAGTTGTTATGAGAAAGCTGGGAATTAAGAGAGGAGAAAAGGATGAAGCAAGACAGATCCAAGGTTGGGGAAGGAGTTGGCATGGGGAGAGTGCCCATGCAGTACCCTCACTGAGAGCTGGATGGAGGGGCAGCAAGGGCTTTCTAGGGTAGGAGACTCTGGCATGGAATTGAGAAAAGTGCCTCTTGCTTATCCATCTCCTTGATTCAAAGAGCTGCAGCTGGAGGGATGGCGTTGAGACTGTAGAAAGAACTTCCCTTGAGTAGCAGTCAGAGTAGAAGCAGAGTCTCTGGTGGGCAAAGCCCATGCAGACTCCATAATGATATTTGCCTCTTGATAACAGTTCAAAGAGGAAATCTCCCGGAGGTTTAAGGCTCAGCAGGATCAGCTGGTCCTGATCTTCGCAGGCAAGATCCTCAAGGATGGGGACACACTGAACCAGCATGGGATCAAGGATGGGCTCACTGTCCATTTGGTGATCAAGACCCCTCAGAAGTAAGTTGAGGAGAAGAGCAGACCTCACTGTGGACTGGGACTCCCATCCCTATTTCCTGAAGGACCCAGGCCAGGCAGGGGGTCTGGGCAAGGGGACCTGACTTAGCACCTAGAACGCCCTGAACACATGATGCTAGTGACCTCCCCCCTCTCCCTGGTGACTGACGCCCCAGCACCCCTCCCAGTCTGAGGTGGGGGTGATGGTGGTTTAGAGGCGGCCTCGGCTTGCAGTGGCTGTGCGGCACACGGATCCAGACGTCACTGTGCTGCCTTCCCTCTTCTGTACCCACTCCAACGGGGAGCCTCCCTTCTCTGTCCTCAGGGCCCAAGATCCAGCTGCTGTCACTGCTTCGTCCCCCTCCACTCCAGACCCTGCCTCAGCGCCCTCCACCACGCCCGCTTCACCTGCCACCCCTGCCCATCCCTCTACCTCTGGCAGTGCCACTTCGGATGCTGGCAGTGGAAGCCGGAGGAGCAGTGGTGGGGGTCCCTCACCAGGGGCAGGGGAGGGACCCCCCAGTGCTACTGCATCTATTCTCTGTAAGCCCTTGGGGAGGAGAACACGATCCTGGGTTGTGCTGGAGTGTGGGGAGCCAAGGAGGGAGAGACAGTCCTTGCTCTTAGTGGGATGGGAAGGGGAGCCCTGGACACAGCGTTCCAGACCCTGGTGCTTGAGCCAAGCTGAGGAGGAAGCCAGTCTGTGAGGGCTTCCTGGAGGAGGGGAACATAGCTCAAGTGCTAGGAGGGAAGGGAGAGATGGAGATGGGGATGTGGGGGCCCCTGAGTGAGGAGATTGGAAAAGATGGCTCCAACAGTAGGCTGATGGGAGGACTTAATTTACTCATTGAGCGGTGCCCTGCTGGTGGATGGAAGTGCTCTCAACCCTCCCTAGGCTGACATCTCTCTGCCCAAAGCAGACCAGGGCGGGGACTGTGGAAGTCACTGGAAGAGGGAGATGTGAGAAGCCCCCGGGCCCACCCATCCTGGAGACCCAATTCCGTGGCTGTGCTAGGAGGGGGAAGGGCTCCTGGGGTGAACTGTGACCCTGCCCCCTCCTCACAGCTGGCTTTGGGGGCATCCTGGGCCTGGGCAGTCTGGGCCTGGGCTCTGCCAACTTCATGGAGCTGCAGCAGCAGATGCAGAGGCAGCTGATGTCCAACCCTGAGATGCTGTCGCAGATCATGGAGAACCCCCTGGTCCAGGACATGATGTCTAACCCTGACCTGATGCGCCACATGATCATGGCCAACCCCCAGATGCAGCAGTTGATGGAGCGGAACCCCGAGATCAGCCACATGCTCAACAACCCCGAGCTCATGCGGCAGGTGGGTAGGGCAGAAGGCTGGAGGGTGGAGAGGCACTGGCACCAGCCTCTCCAACGTCCATTTGTTCATTCACTCACTTAGCAGCCACGTTTCAGACATTTGAGGTACAGGGATAAAAAGATTCATGCCTAGCTTTCTAGGAACTCCTGGTGTCCAAGGGAAGGGGACAAGTGAATGGGCAATTATAGAACAGTGCGGTCGTTGCTGTCCTAAGCGCAGTCACCAGTGTCCTAAGGACAATCACAGCATAAGAAAGGGCTTCTGACCCTATCCTGGGGCTTGGAGAAGGCCTGGTGGAGGAGGTGTCACCAAGCTGAGACCTAAAGGAAGAAGGTGGGTAAACTAGGGGAAGAAAGAAAAAAAAAAAAAACTCGAGGTCAAGGGGCAGTAAGGCAAAGCCCTGGAAATAAGAGACAGTAGGATGTTGGAGAGCATTATTATGGCCGAGTAGGCCTGGGGAAGAGGCCCAGCAGGGGCTGTTTGAGTGTTGGTGTTTGGGGACTTCATCTCATGGTCCAGTCCACCAGGGGACGAGAGCAGATGGTCCTCGCAGCAGAGTTGTGGACACCAGTGCAGGACTCACCAAAAGACAGCTTCTGTTAGGAGAGTTGTTCCTTGTCTAAAACTGTGCCTATATGTAGTGGTCACTCAGTAAGTACTGATTGGGTATTTGGACTATGGGACAAGTGGGAGTTCTGTGAAGGCAGGGGTATAGTCTGGAAAGCAGTCTTAGAAGAGGCAGGTGTGGAACAGATGTTGGAACAAGGAGAGGGAAGGTGTTCCGAGTTGGATGGGAATAAGAAGTGGCTTGCTCACCTTGTCATAAATCCCCTGGTGTGGATTCAGGCCATGGGCACCAGAACAGAAAGCCCCCATCTTCAGTGTGGCTTAAGGCTCAATCAGGCCAAAGACTGGGGTGGTGGTCAAGGGGTGTGTGGAGCACTGTCCCAGCAGAGTCCTTCCCTGCCCAACTTGTAGTTGTTTACTAGGAGCCACAGTGTGATCCTGACCAGACACACCAACCTGGCCCCAGCTGCCTCCCCTGCTAACTGGTTGTGTGTCCTGGTGCTGGAGACGACATCTCTGAGCCTGTTTCCTCACCTGCCAGTGAGGGGCAGGCACACCCAGCCTGCAGGGTTATTGTGGGCCGCTTAGCCCAGCGCCTGTGTGCAGTAGGTGATGAGCAGATGTTCCTGTTCTCTCTGCCTCCTCTCCTTTCTCATATCCCTTCTTACTCACTTTCCTCCTGCTTCCTGATACCCTTCCTTGAGCCCATGAACCTGAGAGAGGGAAACTGCTGTCTCACCCCACCTGAGAGCCTTGTCCTCCTTTAGAAAAAGCCACAGGGTGCAAGGCTGGGGCCAGATGACAATAGAGGTAGGCGGTCTGCTCCTGCAGCTTTGGGCTGTGCACTTACGCATTCCTCAAGCAGAGCCCCTCCTCAGGGTGTGTGTGTGAGTGAGGATTGAACCCAGGAGTGCTCTACCAAGCTACGTGCCCAGGTTTTTAATTTTGAGACATGGTCTCACTAAGTTGCCCAATCTGGCCTCAAAGTTGCGATGAAGTAGCTGGGGTTACAGGTGTGTGCCACCGCACCCAGCTTGGTGCTCCCCTGGTTCCAGGGCCCATGGCGTCTCTCTCCCTTCACCAGACAATGGAGCTTGCTCGGAATCCTGCAATGATGCAAGAGATGATGCGGAACCAGGACCGGGCCCTGAGTAACCTCGAGAGCATCCCTGGGGGTTACAATGCCCTGCGCCGCATGTACACCGACATCCAGGAGCCCATGTTCAGTGCTGCCCGGGAACAGGTGGGGCCAGGGGCTGGGCTAGGGGAGGGTCTGTCTGGCTTAGGATTCTCTGCCCCCTGCTGAGGCCAGGGCTGGGCTGTTGTCTGCCCCTCCATCCTTCTGCAGTTCCCTGAGGGGTGGGCCTTGGCTAGGAGGCATTCTGCAGCAGTGCAAACCAGGAGTCCAGCTTGTCAAACCAGGAGTCCAGCTTGTCGTGGACTGAGGGTAGCACACAGCAGAGATCCATAGAGAACTTGGTGAGGTGGTGTGTTTGAGGGACTTGACATTGTTTTGACAAACTTCTTGTATCAGGGGTTCAGAATTGTGGGGCAGACCTGGGTGGGGTCACATCAGCCCTAGTACAGTGTGTCTCAAGTGTGGTCCATGGCTCACCTGCATCAGCGTCACCTGGGGAGCTTGTTAATAATGAGATTCCTGCTTCCCAGCTCTGAGCAACATTTGCAATTAATCAACCTCTTACAAAATGGCCTGGGATTATGCATTTTTAAAAATGCTTTATGAATTTATTCCAAATATACAAAAAGTATAGATAAAAATTTAGCATTCTCTTGTACCCAGGTTGCCGGTTGCTATATATATATGTGTGTGTGTGTATATATATATATATATATATATATATATATATATATTTTTTTTTTTTTTTTTAAGTTGTAGATGGGTATTATTCCTTTATTTGTTTATGTGGTGCTGAGGATCAAACCCAATGCCTCATGCATGCGAGACAAGCACTCTACCACTGAGCCACAATGCCATCCTGCCACATATAATTTTAATTCCTTTCTTGGTTCTTTTTTTTTTTTTTTCTGGGATTGAACACAGGGGCACTTTACCACTGAGCTGCAGTCCCAGGCGCCCCCCCCCCTTTTTTTCTTTTGAGACAGGATCTCACTACATTGCTTAAGGTCTTGCTAAGTTGCTGAGGCTGGCCTCAAACTTGCCATCCTCCTGTCTCAGCCTCAAAACTTAATTTTATGTCAAACATATTATATATCTGTATGTTTCAAAATTCAGAAGTTACACAAAATAAAAAGTATTCAAAAAGTATGGAAAGTCATGCAAGCCAAAAAAGGTATACAAAAGGGATCCTCTTGGGCTGGGGTTGGGGCTCAGTGGTGAGCACTCGCCTAGTATGCCTGAGACACTGGGTTTGGTTCTCAGCACCACATAAAAATAACAAAATAAAGGTCTTGTACCCACCTACAAAAAAAAAAGGGGGGGGGGAGAGGTCCTCTGCCACCCACAGTCACTAATATCTAATATTTTCAAATAAGTCATTCTAGGTCGAGTCGTAGACTTCACTGGGATTCTCTCGTCTCCTCAGCAGAAGGAACTGCTCTCCTGAGGGCAGGGTTTATCATTGGATTCCTTTATTACTTTTGCATATATCCATGAACATCTCTAGTATTCTTTCCCATACCAAACCTTGTGGAAGTGGTATCAGCTGTTCCTGTCACTCTAACTTGCTCCTTTTGAAACATTTTATTGAAGATTAAGAGAACTACAGAAGAGTGACATACCCTCAAGTGTACAGCTTGATGAATTTCACAATTAACTTACACCCTGGTGTGAGGGCGGGATCCCACCTGATTTGTTCCTGTGGAAAGGAAAGGGTCCATGTCCTGGGCGGCCCTGCTTTCCCAACAGATGAGTCCTTCTTGAAGTTCTTCCCTCCACCAAGTCTCCAAGCTGAGTTTTCTTTTGCTGGCTCTTCTGCTCCCCTGTCCCGTCTCTCTCCCTACAACCATCCCTAATTGTCTTAATCAGCCTTGGTATCTGGTAGAGTGAAATTCCTCACCATATTCTTCAGGACCATCTTGTTATTCTTGGCATCGCTCTTTCAGATTTTTTAAATTGCTTGAGGGATCAACTGTGAATCTATTTTTATTTTATTTATTTAGGTACTGGTGATTGAACCCAGGGGTACTTAACCACTGAGCCACATCTCCAGCCCTTTTTTATTTTTCATTTTGAGACAGGATCTCACTAAGTTCTTTAGGGCCTCACTAAATTGCTGAGGCTGGCCTCCAACTTGTGATCCTGCTGCCTCAGTGTGCACTACCATGCCTGGCTAAAATAAATAACATTCTTTTGAAAAATAAGTGTTTTCCAAGGCAAATAAAACTTTACAGGAAAGTTGGCCTTGTTTCACATTTTTGCAGATCTCTTTAATGCCTGGCTTTCTATACAAAACAGTTGGCTTCTCAGATCTGTACTTGTTCCACTGAATGTCACCTTACGAAGCCTCTGGAAAACTACACCATATCCTTATGAGACAATAAGAGTGAAAAAGGCAAATTAATATCTTAGAATCATAAAAATCATTTTAAACCTTGCAGGATTCTAGGACCACACTTTGAGAACTAGAGTATTCGAGGGATCTTTTGAGCATTAGAATAAATAGTAGGTGTTCAATAAATAGCAGCTGCTAGCACTGTGGGTTGTTTAGGAAGAGAGTCTGTCGGGTATACCAGGAAGAACAAAGCAGAGCTGAGACTAGGTAGAGTAAGGTGCTAGGCGGATTACCAGAACAGGAAATCTGAAGCAGGGACAAAGATTGAAATTATGGTATGTGAACCCTGGCCTGCAAGCCCTGTTATCTGAACAGGCATCTGGTAAGGCAAGGAACCACTGCTCAGAGAGGAGCCCTTGATCATCTGTGTTCCCGTGGCCACTTAGAATAACAGGAAAAGTGACTGTGTAGGAAACCCCACGGTGGAGAGGGGCTGGGCTGCTCAGAGAGGGACTGCTGAGCTCTGTGACCCTGAGGAAGGCTAAGCAGTGCAGTAGGGTGTGGAACACCCGCAGCAAGTACAGCCCTGGACTCCCGAGCTCTGTCCCTCTGTCCGGAGTGCTGAGAGGGCACTCCTCGTTCCCTGAGGTGCAGACCTGGGCCACCCTCGGGAACACAGTGGGGGCCCTGGTACTGAGGCATGAGAGGGATCAAGACCTGTTGGGCTGAAGACCCAGAGTAGGAGGTTCCTTTTGGGGCTCCACAGAAGAGGGAAAGGAGAAAACCTAGAAGAGGGCATGCGCAGCTAGAGGTGTACTCCACTAGAGGGCGCCACCGTGGTGGGCCTGAATGGACAGAGAATGCCTCTTATGGACCTGGAGAGTTGGGGAGAAGGTTCTGGGGATTTAGCACCAGACTAAGAGGGCTGGGAGAAGGGGAGCTGGGGGTAGGTCAAGGTTGAATGAGAGGGCCAGGTCTAAGAGCCGCTCCCATCAAGTCAGCAGTTTATTGAGCACCTAGTAATATTGGAGTTGAAGCTACAAAGGTAAATCTTTGCCCCTTAAAAGCTACAGGAAAACAAATATCTTATTACACAGTGGGAAAGGTGTGTGTAAAGTGCTTCAGGTCACAAAGAGAGAGAGACCAACTTAGAGCCACCAGGAGAGGAGGGAAGTTCCCAGTTATCTAAGGGATCAGTTACGTGGTCATTAGCATCAGCCAGCTCCCACCCCCAGGGCAAGGGTGGAGCTGTCCGTTATTGGGCAAACAGCTGGGACCTGGAGTCCAAGTTCTTGATCTCCCTCCCTTTTCTGGGGGAGGGGAGTCTCTTAGGAGAGAGAAGAGAAAGGGCATAGCCCTTGTCCCTAACTTGTTTCAGTCCTTAACCCAAAACCTTTCCCTCCTCCCAGTTTGGCAACAATCCCTTCTCTTCCCTGGCCGGGAACTCCGACAGCTCATCCTCCCAACCTCTGCGGACTGAGAATCGAGAGCCCCTCCCTAACCCCTGGAGCCCCTCGCCCCCCGCCTCCCAGGCCCCCGGGTCCGGTGGGGAGGGCACCGGAGGATCGGGGACCAGCCAGGTGCACCCGACAGTCTCGAACCCTTTTGGGATCAATGCGGCTAGCCTGGGGTCAGGTATGTCCTAGGGTGGAAGTTTAGTGGGGTCACCAGGGCAGTCCCCTGCCCCCAGGACTAAGTGGGATTCACACTGTTCCAGGATATTGAAAATAGGTGGGACTGTATTAAGGCTACTGAGGGGGCTTAGCAGCCTAGAGTAGTGGCCCCACTGTTCCGAGGGGGAGACTTTGATTTTGGCCATGTCCTGATATCCCTGGGAGTGACCTGAACAATGGCTCGTGAATAAACCAGGTCCCGATTCCCAGGCTCCATGAGCACCTTTGGCACCATCCAGTGTAAATGGGCCAGAGTGGGAGGCGAGAGTGGGGTGGGGTAGGCAGGGGTGGAGGAAAATCAGGGCAGACTTGGGGACAGGCAGATGTGTAACTGATGGAGGTAGATGTGCAGGGCTGCCTTACACAGACAAGTGATGCACTGTGCAACCCTACAGAATGCCCCATTTATCTGGACTCTGACTGTACACATGGCCCTGGGGATGTCTTTGGTGGATGCCCTGATTTCTCTGTTCACTGGGGGATATCTGGAATGGGAAAGTCCTTTCCCCTCCATGCGCTTCAGTGTCCTTATCTATAAAATAAGGACTGGAATTTGGTCCATGGTTTTCAAATTGTGTTCCTGAGTTCTGGGGAGTCGGGACCATCTACAGCCCCATCTCCAGGATGAGGAAGAACCAAATAGGAGAGGCTCTCGGCCTCCTGTCCCAGCTCCAACCAGACCACTGACATACGTGGTTTCTGAGTGAGATTTGGCTTGAGGAAAGGGTCTCTGCTACTAAGACAAGTTTGAAAAACACTGGTCTAGGTGACATTTAATCCTTTCCAACTCAGACATTATCTGAGCTTGTGGCAGGAACAGTCCAGAAAGGGCATGAATTAGACCCAGTTTCTAGCTGGCTTGTTCTTAGAAAAGTGGATGGAGAAGTCCAGGCCAGAGAAGGACAGACTTTCCTCAGGCTCGGAGGCCTGGAGCCTTGCCACAGTACTTGGGTGCCCTTGAGCATTGCCTTTCTGAGTTTCATGACCATTCAGTGTCCAAGTAAGGTAGACTGAAGTGAAGCATGTGGTTCCCATCTGGACCACTTCTCTCCTGTTTTATTTCACCTTCCTCGTCCTAGGGATGTTCAACAGCCCAGAAATGCAGGCGCTCCTCCAGCAGATCTCTGAGAACCCCCAGCTGATGCAGAATGTGATTTCAGCCCCCTACATGCGCAGCATGATGCAGACACTTGCCCAGAACCCTGACTTTGCTGCTCAGGTATCAAACTGGCTCAGGGGAGTGTTGCTGGGGAGGGCTCCTTGAGTGAGAGCAGTTTCTTTTGGTCCGAACACTCTGGTTCGCCGGGCGTGGTGGCGCACACTTGCTATCCCAGCAGCTCAGGAGGCTGAGACAGGAGGATCTGAAGGTCAAAGCCAGCCTCAGCAACTTAGTGAGACTCTAAGCAATTCAGTAAGACCCTAAGCAATCAGCAAGACCCTATCTCTGAATAAAATATAAAAAGGGCTGAGGATGTGGCTCAGTGGTTAAGTGCTCCTGGGTTCAATCCACGGTACAAAAAAAAAAAAAGCAAACTCTAACAAAAAATACTGTTCTGGGGCTGGGGCTGGGGCTGGGGCTGGGGCTCAGTGGTAGAGCGCTTACCTCACACCCGTGAGGCACTGGGTTCGATCCCCAGCACCACATAAAATAAATAAACAAAATAAAGGTATTGTGTCCATCTACAAGTAAAAATACCCCCCCCCCCCAAAAAAAAAAAACTGTTGTTCTGGGCACAGTGGCAAAAACCTGCTATCCTAGGGACTCAGGAGGCTGAGTAGGAGGATAGCAAGTTCAAGAGTAGCCTCAGCAACTTGGTGAAACCTTTTCTCAAAATGAAAAATAAGAGGCTGGGGACGTGGTTCAGTGGTAGAGCGCGTGTTGGGAAGTTGAGGCCCTGGGTTTAACCCCTGCACAATCAAACAAAACACTGGGACTGCCGGACTGCTTGAGTTTGTATCCCAAGTTCTGCCACGTCCCAGCTTTGTGAGTTAACAGTTATTTAACCTCCCAGTTTCCTCATCTGCAAAATGATATTAGACTAGTTCCTGCCTCACTAGGTTAAAGGATTAGAAAAGTTAACACATGTCAAGTGCTTAGAACATAGTGTGCCACAAAGTAAGCCCCGTGTACTTGGAAGTGTTAGCTGGTGTCACCACCATCTGACCAGACTGAGCAGCCTGACATCTGACTCTTCATTTCTCAGAGCATGGTTCCATCTCCTTGCTGTCCCACGTGGGCCTTTAGGATATCTGAGGTCCTTGGGAGCCCTGGCCAGATTTCCTATAGTGGTGGGGGTCGTGGGGGTGGCTGAGGCTGTGGGCAGTTCTCCCGGTGGGAAATTCCAGGCCTCTCTCTTCTACCTTCACTTTGGCAGATGATGGTGAATGTGCCCCTCTTTGCCGGGAACCCCCAACTGCAGGAGCAGCTCCGGCTGCAGCTCCCCGTCTTCCTGCAGCAGGTGAGTACGGGGCCTAGAGGGGCAGGACTGGGCTCTGGACTTAGGCTGCCTGCTCTTCCCACCACTCCCGCTGCCTGTCTCTTTCCCAGATGCAGAATCCGGAGTCCCTGTCTATCCTCACCAATCCCCGGGCCATGCAGGCCTTGCTGCAGATCCAGCAGGGACTGCAGACCTTACAGACTGAGGCCCCCGGGCTGGTACCCAGGTGAGGGCCAGTGCCCCCTTCCTCCCCTCTCTGCCCTCTCTGGCAGCCTTTGTGTCCCCGAGGATCTGCTGTCCCATCGCCCCTGGCTGTTTTTCCTTCTGGATCTCATATTCCCAACTCTCTTGAATGCCGGCTCCTACCCTTGGCCTTTCCTGCCTGCAGCCTTGGCTCTTTTGGGATGTCCCGGACCACAGCGCCCTCAACGGGCGGCAGCTCTGGGTCTACGGCCGAGGGCCCCACCTCTTCGCCAGCCACGCCCGCCACGACTCCTCCCACCGGGGCTTCCAGTGCCCAGCAGCAGCTCGTGCAGCAGATGATCCAGCTTTTGGCTGGGAGTGGAAACTCACAGGTACCAGGGGCAGCAGGGCTGGTATCCGGCTCACCACTTCCCGCGGGCAGCGTCAAGGGTAGCCGTAGACCAGAGGCAGCAGGGCCGGCTCTGCAGTTGGCCAAAGCTGGCTGGCCTACCATTCACCAGCCACCCTCAGTTCAGTTCCTACAGCTGTAAGGTGGAGTTGAATAGTGATAGTCCCCTGGTGTGCTCGGTACTGCTCCAGATGCTCTGTATAAGAGTTCATTACCTCATTCTTTTTTTTTTTTTTTTTTTTTAGATATTGATGGACCTTTATTTTATTCATTTGTTTCTATGCGGTGCAGAGGATTGAACCCAGTGCCTCACACATGCTAGGCCCTAGCCCCAGCCCCATTACCTTATTCTTAGGAGAAAGTTATTGTTAGTATTACCTCTGTATTACAAATGGGGAAACTGAGGCCCAGAGAGGTTCAGTGGATTCCTCATTTTTATAGCTGGTAAGTAAGGGAGCCATGATTCAAACCCAGGCATTCTGGTTCCAGAATTTACGTTTTCCACCCCCACCACTGGGAATTGAACCAGGGGTGCTCAACCATTGAGCTACTTCCCCAGCCCTTTAATTAATTAATTTATTTCTAATACCTTTGTTTTATTTATTTATTTTTATGTGGTGCTGAGGATCAAAGCCAGTGCCTCACACGTGAGAGGCAAGTGTTCTACCTCTGAGCTACAGCCCAGCCTTTTTAATTTTGAAACAGGGTCTTGCTGGGACTGGGGCTGTGGCTCAGCTGGTAGAGCGCTTGGCTAGCATGTGTGAAGCACTGGGTTCGATTCTCAGCACTGCATATAAATAAATAAAGATCCACTGACAACCAAAAATAAATGAATAAATAAGAAGAAAAAAAGAAACTGGGTCTTGCTAAGTTTCCCAGGCTGGCCTTGAACTTGCTAATCCCCTTGCCTCAGCTTCCAAATTGCTGAGATTACAGGCATATGCCACTGTGCCCAGCCAGAAGTATACCTTTTATTTATTTATTTGTTTACTTTTTGTGGTGCTGGGGATTGAACCCAGGGCCTTGTGCATGTGAGGCAAGCACTCTACCTCTTTTTTTTTTTTTTTTTAATTAGTTGTTGATGGATCTTTATTTATTTATGTGTGGTGCTGAGGATGGAACCCAGTGCCTCATACATGCTAGGCAAGTGCTCTACCACTAAGCCCCAGCCCCAGCCCCTGTTCATCCTCTTTTAGGGAGGGGAGGGTTAGAGATGAACCGTGGCCTTGCATAGCGTAAGCACACATTCGACAACTGAGCAACATTCCCAGCCCCTTGGGTATTTGTTTGGTAATTAAAACAGCTTCTACCTCTGAGACTTTGGAAGGATTGCAGAGTCCTGGGCCACAAAGTCAAGGCCAGGGCTTGGAGTAAGGTAAGAGATAGAGATGCCCTGGATTGTCTCTGACCTCTGTGACCCACAGGGAAAAGCTGCTCAACAAAAATGTGCGTGAAGCCAGTGGTGGTCGTGCACACGTGTAATCCCAGCAACCTCAGAGGCTGAGGCAGAAGGATCGCAAGTTCAAGGCTAGCCTCAGCAGCTTAGTGGGGCTGTTAGCATTCTTAGCAAGACCCTGTCTCAAAATTTAAAAATAAGGGCTGGGGGTATAGCTCAATAGTAAAGCACTTGCCTAGCATGTGCATGGCCCTGGGTTCAATCCTTAGTATTACAATAAAAAGAGACCCAGACAGGTAGGGCTGGAGATGTGCCTCAGTGAGTGGTTGAGCACTCCTGGATTCAATCCCTGGCACTAAAAAAAAAAAAAGTGTGAAGCTACTCAGCCCCTCCGGAGACTGAGGCAGAGTATAACAAGTTCAAGGCCAGCATCAGCAACCCAGCAAGACCCTGTCTAAAATTAAAAAGGGCTGGGAATGTAGCTCAGTGGTGCCGGTGTTCAGTCCCTCCTACAGCTTCATACATACAGACATACAGTTTTTTCTTGGGACCCTTCTCTGGCCTTTTTTTTTTTTTTTTTTTTTTCCCCAAAGAAAGAGAGAGAGAGAGAGAGAATTTTAATATTTATTTTTTAGTTTTCTGCAGACACAACATCTTTGTTTGTATGTGGTGCTGAGGATCGAACCCGGGCCGCACGCATGCCAGGCGAGCGCGCTACCACTTGAGCCACATCCCCAGCCCCTTCTCTGGCCTCTTAATGTGGCTGTGTGTGTGATGACCGTCAGGAAGGAGCATGTTTGGCATGCCTTTTATTTGGCCACAGAGTGTTTGGCTTTTGGAGCACTTGTTAATATCTCCAGAGTATTTATGGGAAATAGGAATATAAGGTGACCCAGGCCTATCAGGCACTTGATTTCAAGTAAGATCCCTGCCTTTTTATCATAGTTCTTCAGTGACTCAGGAGCTCTTCCCCGTGGCCTTCCTGTGCAGCCCCCTCCTCCCCACCCCAGTGACTGAGGACGTCAGGGACCTGTTGGTGTTGTAAGCCCTTCAGCTTCAGCTACTCCTCTGGGGTGGGTTCTGTGCCCACTTCATAAGGCCTGTCCCCTCCAGGTGCAGACGCCAGAAGTGAGATTTCAGCAACAACTGGAGCAGCTCAACTCCATGGGTTTCATCAATCGTGAGGCCAATCTGCAGGCCCTGATTGCCACTGGAGGGGACATCAACGCAGCTATCGAGAGACTCCTGGGCTCCCAGCTCTCCTAATCCTTTGGCCCATGCCTCCTGCCTCTCCCCTGACCCAGTACTGACCTTTGGTTCCTCTGTCAGCCCCTAACCTCTGCAGCTTATCCCTCTGTCTTCTTCTTTGACTCTCCAAACAGTAGGGTGACCTTAGAGGCATGGGCCCAATGCCACCGCTCTGAGAATTTTGATCTCACTGCTGTCTCTAACAGAGTCTTCTCTCCTGGTCCTCCTTGAGCAGAGCTATTTAAACAGTTTTCACAGTTCTGTTGGTTGACCCCACCTCCTTGCCCACACCACCTTTTGCAATCTTCAGACTTCTCAGTGGGGACTGCAAAGTTGCAGGAGGACCCAACTCTCTGGTTTACTGGAACAGTCTTCCATCCACACCACTAGGCTTTGGCTTCTCTTAACTTACCTTTGGTAACTGTCCTCTTCCCCACCCTCCCTGGGCCCTCCAGGGCTAGCACCGCACTCTGAAGGTGGGGGCAGGTGAAACAGGCTGTGATTTTTCTCCTCAAACCCTACTCTGGGCACTTCACCTAGGACTTTTTCTTGGGCTCTGTTGGGACTTCTCATCCAAAGGGGAACACAAGGCACAGCACTCTGGATGGAAATTAACAGGCCCTGGACCAGAGCGATGAAGACTGTTACGGCAGAGGAGCCACTGAGATTTCCTAGAGGAAGGGGACAGGGAGGCAGCCTAAGCAAAAAGCTTCAGATGGAACTACAGCTGGGGTCTGGGAGTACTAGTAGCTCTTTAGGCAAGAGACTCCAGGCCCAGGCCCGACGGAGGAGAAATAGGTAGACTAATGGGATTTGAACTGAAGAAAGGGGCTCGATGCTAAGCAGTGTCTCACACACGTTCCCATGAACTCAAGACCTCCCTGTCTCTCCTGTCCCCGGTAATTGTGAGTTCCACTCAAAGGGTATGGAGGGGATTGGAGTCTGTTCAGCAGTGGGTAGTGTGTGTGCATGTGTGCCCACATGTGAGGTGGGCCAGTCGGGTTCTTTGTGGATTTCTAGTTTAGTGCTGCCTCTCACAGGGACAAGCGAGTAAGAGGGCTGGTTTAGAGCAGAATGGGGACACCCAGGAGGGCTTAGGCCTCTGGATGCTGGGTCACGGAAAGGCAGTGTGGGGACCCTTGTGAAGCTGTTGGGTGTGACTGGTACCCTTACCACCCACCACTGTTTTGGAGACTAGCACAGGGGATTTCTCCCTCCAGATCCCCTGGTCTTTCCATTTTTTACTGTTTTCCCTCCAGGCCAGAAAGTTTATTTGAGGAGGGAGAGGGGATGGTGGCAATGATGCCTTTAATCTGGAACTGGACATTGCTGTACTGGAGCATGGAGGAGGCTCTTACCACCTCCTCCCTCAGCTGTATGGCCCCGCTGCTTGGAGAACACGGAGGCAAGAGGAACAGAATTTTGCTCCAAGTGGGAAAGGGTCCCAAACAGTCCAGAGAAGATGTCTGCCCTTTTCCTCCCTACCTCCCCCAACTCCCACACTGGCCTTTGTAAATAAATGGTGTGATGTTTGTTGTGAAAGTGTGTTGGTGTGTTTTCTGCTGCAGGCTGGCTAGACAACATCCTGGTTCTACCAGGAATAAGGTGGACTCTAGAGGGGTTTGAAGTTGGGTTCAGTTACCACAGCTGTTAAGGAGCATTGACGGTTAAGAGAGAACTGGCCAGGCCCAGTGGCGCACACCTGTAATCCCAGCAGCTCCAGAGGCTGAGACGGGAGGATCGTGAGTTCAAAGCCAGCCTCAGCAATGGCAAGGCATTAAGCAACTCAGTGAGACCCTGTCTCTAATAAAATACAAAATTGGGCTGGGGATGTGGCTTAGTGGTTGAGTGCCCTTGAGTTCAATCCCTGGTACCCCCAAAATAAATAAATAAATAACTGATCAGCCAGGTGCAGTGGCACATGCCTGTAATCCCAGCAGCTCGGGAGACTGAGGCAGGAGGAATGAAAGTTCAAAGCCAGCCTCAGCAACTTAGCAAGGCCCTAAGCAGCTCAGCAAGACCCTGTCTCTAAGTAAAATATAAAAAAAGGCTGGGATATGCTCAGCGGTTGAGTGCCCCTGGGTTCAATCACTGATACCAAAAAAGAAAAAAAAAAATTAAACTGATCATGGAGGTATCAAAAACCAGGTTTAAGAATGAGGAAGACTGCATTCATCCATTCCCATCTCTAGCTCATATGACATCTGAGATCTGCCCCTTCTGGGAGGAAACTGAGGCATTGGGCAGACGGCTGGGCTGCTTCCTCTATCCTCCTGATCTGTTGGAGGACAGTCCTCCCTTAGCTCAGGCAAGAGAAACAAACCCTGTATCTGGATCTTCATGCAGGTGAAGTTTAGTAGTTATGAATCTTGAGCTCTGAAACTAAACCTGGTTCTACCTCTACTCATGCAACTCCAGGAAGTCTTCAGACCCAGAAGTTTCATCTTTGGTAGAGAAGTTACACACTAGAGTTCTGTGATAAGGGAATGGGAGGTCCCAATTTTGAGAATGGTAGACCAGATGCTTCAGACAGATACTCTAACCAGAAATCCAAAAAGCTGAGTGAAACAAGAAAAACCAAGGGGTTAATAAGCTTGGCTTGGAGCCCAGAGGGTAAAGAAAGCCCTACAGACTGTCTTTGACCTAGACGAGTTAACTAATTGGGAAAAGGTTGTTGAGAGGCTGAGCTGTATATTTGAGGGCCTTTGAAGGACCAGGAGCTAAAGAATTAAAAAGTTGGGGGTCGGGCTGGGGATGTGGCTCAAGTGGTAGCACGCTCACCTGGCATGCATGCGGCCCAGGTTCGATCCTCAGCACCACATACAAACAAAGATGTTGTGTCTGCAGAAAACTAAAAAATAAATATTAAAATTCTCTCTCTCTCCCTCTCTCTCTCTCTCTCTCTCTCTCTCTCTCTCTCTCTCTCTCTCTTTAAAAAAAAAAAGTTGGGGGTCTGGCTGGGTGCAATGGCACATGCCTGCAATCCCAGCTACTCAGGAGGCTGAAGCGGGAGGATATGAAGTTCAAGGTTGGCCTGGGTTTCTTAGTGAGACCCCCAGCAACTTAGTGAGACCCCCGTCTCAAAAATTAAAAAGCCCTGGGGTGTAGCTAAGTGGTTGAATGCCCCTGGGTTCTATCTCTAGTACTGCAGGGAAAAGAAAACCCAAATAGAAAATTGAGCTAATAAAATACAATAAGTGAAATTAAGACCTCAACAGGTGGATTTAATTGCAGATTCAATATAGCCAAGCAGTCAGATATGAAAAACAGGTCAGAAGAACTATGACAATGAAACCTGGAGTAATTAGAGGATGAAAATACAGAAGACAAGACATAAGTTGAGCTAACTCTGTGTGTGTGTGTGTGTGTCTGTGTGTGTGTGTGTAGAGCTGGGGATCAAACACAGAAGTGCTGGGGATCAAAATGGTAAGAGCTTGCCCCTCTACCACTGAGCTACACACCCAGCCCCTGGGCTAACAGAATTTTAACTGGAGTCTTAGAAGATGAGAGAAAAGAGGAAGAAGCAATCTTTTATTTTTAATATTTATTTTTTAATTGTAGTTGTACACAATCTCTTTATTTTATTTATATGTGGTGCTGAGGATTGAACCCAGGGCCTCGCATGTGCTAGGCAAGCGCCCTATTGCTGAGCCACAATCTCAGCCCCCAGAAGAAGCAATCTTTAGAGAAGCGATATCTCATACTTACCTAGAATTAAGCAAAACCACCAATTTATATATTCATGAACCCCAATGAATAAACCTACCTTCTGAAAGTACGCAAAAGAAAAAATATTTTAAAACAACTAGAGAATAAAGACTTTTTAACCTTCAAAGGAGCAACAGACTGTCACTCATATCTTGACAGCAAAGGGGAAAGCCAAAGAATAGAACGGCATTTTCCCTGTGGCCAAGGACTATAACTGCCCGTCTAGAATATTATGTCCAGTGAAAATGTCTTTCAGCTGGGTGCTGTGACGCATGCCCGTAATCCCAGAGACTCAAGAGGCTGAGGCAGGAGGATCACAAGTTCAAAGCCAGCCTCAGCAATTTAGGGAGGCCCTGAGCTCTTAGTGAGACCCTAAAAAATATAAAGGCTGGGGATGTACCTCAGAGGTAGAGCACCCCTGAATTCAATCCCCAGGACCACAAAAACAAAACAATCATCATTTAGGGCTGGGGTCGTGGCTCAAGGGCACGTGTGTGGCATTGGGTTCAATTCTCAGCACCACATAGAAATAAATAAAATAAAAGCCCATTAACAACATATATATATATATATATATATATATATATATAATTAAACTGATCATGGAGGTATTAAAAAAAAGGTTTAAGAATGAAGAAGATTACATTCATCCATTCCCATCCCTAGCTCATATGGCATCTGAGATCTGTCCCTTCTGGGAGGAAACTGAGGCATTGGGCAGACGGCTGGGCTGCTTCCTCTATCCTCCTGATCTGTTGGGAAGACAGCCCTTCCCTTAGCTCAGGCAAGAGAAACACACCCGGTATCTGGATCTTCATGCAAGTGAAGTTTAGTAGTTATGAATCTTGAGCTCTGAGACTCAAGATTATATTCATTTATATATATAAATATTCATTTAAAATAAAATGACCAGGCTGGGCATGGTAGTGCATACCTGTAATCTCAGCAGCTTGGGAGGCTGAGGCAGAAGGATAGTGAATTCAGTCAGACTCAGCAATTTAGTGAGGCCCTAAGCAACTCAGTGAGATCCTGTCACAGAGTAAAAAACAAAATAGGGGGTTGAGGTTGTGGCTCAGCGGTAGATTGCCTGCCTGGCATGGTGAGGCACTGGGTTCGATCCTCAGCACCGCATATAAATAAATAAATTAATTAAATAAAAGATCTATTTGCAACTAAAAAATATTAAAAAAAGAATTGGAGTCATCAGTGTGAATTCCTGTTTAGGTTAATACATAGAAATATTCATAGATATGTATACAGACATATATCTCCTTGTTCAGTCAGTTGAAAGGCATAGAAGTAATGACACTTGATAGCAACAATTACGAATACTCAGATCATCTGGGTTCTAATATCATTCTCAAAAAAAAAAAAAAAAAAAAGAACTAGGCACCCCTCCTTGGAGATAGGGCTAAATGGCTGATTCTAGGACTGGGACAGGAAATGCACAAGATGAGCCTGAAGCATCTTTATCTACTGTCCCCCAGCCTCCTATGAATTGAACCCAGGGGTACTCCACCACAGAAAAACATTCCCAGCCATTATGATTTTTAATTTTTTTTTTAATTTTTTAATCTATTTTAAAATTTTTGATACTGAGAATTGAATCAGGGTCATTTTACCACTGAGTCACAATCCTGGCCTTTTTGTTTGTTTGTTTGTTTGTTTTTTTGTTTGAGACAGGGTCTTCCGAAATTGCTTAGTACCTCACTAAATTGCTGAGGCTGACCTCAACCTTGCAACCCTCCAATCTCAGCCTTCTGAGTTGCTGGAGTTACCGGCATGCATCATTTTGCCTGGCTCTTATTTTTTATCTTGAGACAGGTACTGGCTAAGTTGCCTAGTCTAGCCTCAAACAGTCGATCCTCCTCCTCATTCTCCCCAGCCCGTGGGATTACAGGCATGCACCAGAGTATCTGGCTTGGTTATTTGTTTTTTAAAAGTATTTTATTAGGGGGCTGGGATTGTGGCTCGGTGGCAGAATACTTGCCTCGAATGTGTGAGGCACTGGGTTCGATCCTCACCACCACACAAAAATAAATAAATAATAAAGGTATTGTGTCCAACTACAACTAAAAAAATATTTTTTAAAAAAAGTAGTTTATTAGGCCAGGTGTGGTGGCCCACACCTATAATCCCAGCTGCTGGGGAGACTGAGGCAGGAGGATCGCAAGTTCAAAGTCAGCCTCAGCAACTTAGCAAGACCCTAAGTGATTTAGCAACACACTGTCTCAAAAATTTAAAAAGGCTGGGGATGTGGCTCTGTGGTTAATCACCCTTCAGTTCAATCCCTGGTACAAAAAAAAAAAAAACTAACCAAGGCTGGTGATGCAGTAAAAGTGCTTGCCTAGCATGCATGAGACTCTAGGTTTGATCCCTAGCATTACAAAAAAGAAAAAAAAAAAAACTAAACTAACCAAAAAAATCACCTATAAACTCTGGTGGAATTCAATTAAAGCAGTATGTAAAGGGAAATTAATAGTTTTAAATGCATATATTGGAAAATAAGAAAGGTTGAAAAGTAATGAGTTAAGCAATCCTCCAAAGAAGTTTACAAAGAGAGAGAACGTACACCAGTAATATAAGCTCAAGGAACGTGGAAGGATGGAAAATGAAAGAGAAGAGCAAGAGTCAATGAAACGAAGATTTCCAAAAAGCAAAAACGGGAAGCTGGGTGCTGTGGCGTCCCCCAGTAATCCCAGAGGCTCTACAGAGGCAGGAGAGTTCAAAGCCAGCCTCGGCCAAAGCCAGGCACTGAGCAACTCAGGGAGACTCCGTCTCTAAATATCTAAATAAAATCAAAATAGGCTGGGGACGTGGCTCAGTGGTCGAGT